CCCCACATCCCTCTGTTACTGCGCTGAGCGTCAGCCTGGACTGTGAGCTCAAACCCCCGTCAGTGAGGAGGATCAAACCCACAATCTCAGAGCCACAGTTAACCAAGTCTGAAATTCTCAGTGTCTCCCAGTGTTTACATTCCTCAGTGTCTGTGTCTCAGTGTCTGTGTCTCAGTGTCTGTGTCTCAGTGTCTGTGTCTCAGTGTCTGTGTCTCAGTGTCTGTGTCTCAGTGTGTGTTTCTCAGTGTCTGTGTCTCAGTGTGTGTTTCTCAGTGTCTGTGTCTCAGTGTGTGTTTCTCAGTGTCTGTGTCTCAGTGTGTGTTTCTCAGTGTCTGTGTCTCAGTGTCTGTGTCTCAGTGTGTGTTTCTCAGTGTCTGTGTCTCAGTGTGTGTTTCTTGGTGTTTGTGTCTCAGTGTCTGTGTCTCAGTGTCTATGTCTCAGTGTGTGTTTCTCAGTGTGTGTCTCAGTGTGTGTGTCTCAGTGTCTTGTCTCAGTGTGTGTTTCTTGGTGTTTGTGTCTCAGTGTCTGTGTCTCAGTGTCTATGTCTCAGTGTGTGTTTCTCAGTGTCTGTGTCTCAGTGTGTGTTTCTCAGTGTCTGTGTCTCAGTGTGTGTTTCTCAGTGTCTGTGTCTCAGTGTGTGTTTCTCAGTGTCTGTGTCTCAGTGTGTGTTTCTTGGTGTTTGTGTCTCTGTGTCTCAGTGTGCGTGGACTGGTGGCAGACGTCTCTCACACTCAGTCACCAGAGGAAGGATGTGACCAGTTGCTCCAGCTCTGTTTCCTGCCTCGGTGCTCGGCTATTGTTGTTTCCAGGACACAGCCAGGAAAAGGTGTTTGTGTGGTGACTGGGTGACATGACGGGATTCTGAGAGAGACTCTCTCCGTTGGTGGCTGAGTGGGTAATCAGAGGGCATTGATTTCATATTCACTGAAAATAACCCAGTGAGAGGCTGGAATAGTTTTTGTACACATGGAGCATGATCAGCACACACAATTCCAGACCAAAACCACTGACTGAGGCAGAATCTGGAATCACTTCTGAAAAGGGAATTAGAGAAGGAATCAGGAGGGTGAGAGGTGACCGAAAGGAATTGTGTTCCCTTCCACTTTTGTATTGTAATGAAACCTCTCTTTAGTTCCCTCTCACAATCACAGACATTTACAGTGCAGTTCGAGGCCATTAAGCCCATCGAGCCCACCCCGGCTCTCAGAGTGGGCTGTTCATTGAATCCCACTGTCCTCTCTAACCCCACACTCCTTCAATCCTTTGTATATCAACCTGGCTCAGTGGCTATCACTCTCTCTCTCTCTCTCTCTCTCTCTCGCCTCTGAGTCAGAAGGTTGTGGGTTCAAGCCCCCACGCCAGGACATGGAATCACATTGTCCAAGCTGACGCTCAAATGCAATGTTAGGGGGATGTTGTCTTGTGGGAGTTGCCATCTTTCAGATGAGAAATTAAACAAAGTCTGTTCAGGTGGGAAAGATCCTATGGCCACTATTGGTAAAGAGAAGTGTGTCATCCTGTAGCTCAGTGGTTAGAGCACTCGCTTTGCAAGTGAGAGACCTGAGTTCAATTCCAGGCAGAGGGCGAAACCTTGGGCAAGTTTCCTTACTCCACACAGAGCCTAATAATAATACCTCCAAAACCAAAAACAATAATAAATTGGTCATTTTCAATCTACGACTGTTTGTGGGACATTGCTGTGCGCAATTGGCTGCCGCGTTCGCCCACAAATATACAGTCAATTCACTTTACAGTGTGTTCTGTGAAGCGCTTTGGGACGTCCTCCCGACGTGAAAAGTGCTATATCAAATGCAAGGATTATTATTATTATTAGAAGGGAGTTTCTCTCTCTCCCAGTGTCCTTGCCAACAAACCCCCCCAGATAAAATCAGTCATTCATTCATGCCTGTTTGTGGCGCGTTGTTGTGCGCAACGTAGCTTCTGCATTCACCCGCAAATCCACAGTCACTGCACTTTACAGTGAATCCTGTGATTCTCTGAACTCCATCCTGGAGCCTCTCCACCTCGCCCACTGCCTCGCCACCTTCAAGGCCCGTCTCAAGACCTTTGTCTTTAACCGTGCCTTCGGTCACGCTCCCACCCTCTTGATTCCAACCCCCAGCTCGGGTGCAAATCCCAGCTCCTAGGGACGTCCTCCCGATGTGAAAGGCGTTTGTCAGATGTGAGGGTTGTTATTGTCTGGTTCGGGCCAGCGTGAGCTCCACACATGCTGAAGCTGTTAGAGGTGAACATGGTGAAGGCTTTGTTCCCGGGCAGGAAGCCAGGGCTGAGCTGTTGGTGACTGCCTGACCTTGTGTCACTGAGCGGTGATGGCTCTGCGAGAGGAGAGGAGGAAAGCGCGTGGGGGGGGGCAGTGCTTAAAAGGGGAAAAAAATAATTATTGAGGTTTAAGAGCGCCCGAGCCTTTGATCTCTTGTTACAGAGTGCTCTGCCCAGGAATGTCTTCAGTGTAATCTGACACTAAACATCTCTTTATGTAGTGAAATTCAACTGTGTTCACTCAGTGAAACCACAGAATGTTTACAGCAAAGGACGAAGGCATTCGCTCAACGTGTCTGTGATGGTGCTCATTCCTACCCACCTCCTCCCCCCCACCCACACATGGGAGCTCTCTAGTCTAACCCCATTCCCTGCTCTCGCCCCCCCCCCCATCGTGTCTGTGCCGGTGCTCACTCCCCCACCCGAGCTCTCTAGTCTAACCCCATTCCCTGCTCTCGCACCCCCCCCCCCACATCGTGTCCGTGCCGGTGCTCACTCCCCCACTGGAGCTCTCTACTCTAACCCCATTCCCTGCTCTCGCCCCCCCATCGTGTCTGTGCCAGTGTTCACTCCCCCACTGGAGCCCCCCTCCCAGCCCCCGTTATTGCTCCCCCCCCCATCTCATCACTGCTCCCACAGCAGTTACCATTGAACGTTTTTGACGTGATGGACGCTGTAATCATTTCACAACACAGAAGTGAAACCAGACGTGAGTGAGTGTGTCTCTGGGAGGAGACGGGAGCGATGGGAGGGAGCGAGAGGATGGGGGGGAGGAGGAAGTCGTCTCGTGGAGAGATGCAGCGGTAAGCAGAACAGTTGAGGAACTGGTGTTTGCCAACAGACTGGCAGGAACCGAGCACTTGAGTTCTGAGCTGTGCCCGCTGGTGAACTGACCTCAGTCTGGGATTAAACTGAGATAAACTGCCCCCCTACTCCGAGGTCAGTGTCAGTCGCTGCTCAGTGTCTGACACAGTGTGAGCACCAAAGGCGTTTATCCCCAAGTAACCCAGTCATTACATTCACTCACTCACTCGCACAAACTGCTGCTGTTTGCTTGGTCAGAAGCGTTCTGTGTTGTAGGGATTTAAACCCAATAACCAAAGGTCAGGGTTTGAGCTCACGCTCCAGGCTGTAATAATAATCCTTGCATTTGATACAACACCATATCACGTGATTGAGACGCCTCAAAGCGCTTCACACGATATACTGTAAAGTGGATTGACTGTGCATTTTGTGGGCGAAACACGACAGCCAATTGCACACAGCAGTGTCCCCACAAACAGTCATAGAATGAGGGGGGTGGGGGGGCGCAGAGAGCGTGGCTATATTGTTTAGGGGTAAAATAGTGGCAGATCTCTCAAATCCTGGCTTAATCTGGAAGCTGTTTTCTTTTCAGACTTGTGGAAGTAATGGCCCCAGACTGGAATTGAGAATTTTCCACAGTCCTGGACGATGTTGCATTATAAGGAAAAATGGTCCCACATGCTGTGGAATTTCAGGGATGAGAGGCAGGGAAGGGGGGATTTGATGGTGGGGGTGGAGGTAAAATTACCCTGGTTTGAGCTGGGCCGGTAACTTGTGGCTGTTTATTTGAACAGGCAGCTGAATGGAAATTCACACCAACATCCTCTCTCTCTCTCAGCTGCGGGAACAGGAAGTCAGTGTGGAGTTGGGATTGTGTAGGTCATTCCCCAGGGAGCGAGACTCTAGCCTCACAATGTGACCTGGCCATTTCCACCTCAGTTACAATCAGCAACTCACTGCCTCATTGTGTGTGTGTGTGTCAATGTGTGGCTGTATGTGTGTGAGTCGGTGCCCGTGTGCGTGTGCATGTGTGTCTGTGCATGCATGTGTGCATGATTGTGCGTGTGTGTGAGCCAGCGTGTGTGTGTGTGTCAGCGTGTGTGTTTATAAAGAAATCTTAGGTTTGATTGATCAAAGATTGGGTGGCACCTGGGACTAAACATTCCACATTTCGATTACTCAATGTGCAAAGTTAATGTGTGCGAAGTTGCCCAATGCCAGCAATAAGCCCCTCTGTTTACCGAGCAGTAAGTAAGAACCCGGTTGTTATTCGATTGGTGGATCGCTTTCCAGGGGGTAATAATCCTTCCCCCAAAAAAACATTCGGTCACTCAATCCACGACTGTTTATGCGCAATTGGCTGCCGCGTTTCACCCAGAAAATACGCAGTCATTTCACTTTACAGTATATCTTTGAGAAGTCTCAATGATGTGATAAGGCGCTGTATCAAAGGCAAGGATTATTATTATTACTATTAACTCTTCCAGTGTCCACCCTCAGCTCCCGGCCCCTTGTGACACCTTCCACCTGCCATGGGAGGGAGTGAGCCTCCGCCAGCGCTCCAAACACATGCCTCAAACCCTCAAATATCATCACGACTCCGATTTTCAAAAAGAAACAGCTTTTTTTTCCAAAATAAAAAAAAGTAATTATTCTTCATGAAAACGTTTGATTTTTCCTTTCGGGTGACGCTCGCTGGGTGAGATTAGTTGTAGTTGTTTGAGTTGACAGCGACTGGCATACAACACGACCATTTAACATTAACATCTGACTTATCCCCGCTCAGCCCAGAGAGTAGTTTTTTTTAAATACACTAATTACTCTCAATTTATCTGGTTTCCGTCATTCTCATCTCTGGGCTCTGATATCACTGGGCTGAACAATGACAGGAAACCAGCAGACCAGGCTGAGTGCTGGGAGTGCAGTGAGTACCTCACCAGTCGTGCGTCCGGCCGGGGAGGGAGTTCGTAAACCACATCACACAGCGCAGCCCTCAAACCCAACTCCAATCTCACAGCCTTTGGCTTCCTCAAAATCTCAAGCTTCTCCTTTGGATTTCTCCACCGAGCAGAAAACACACAGCCCCACGTGCGGAGGAGCGGGAGAGACACGCGGGGTAAGTGCTCTGTGCGTGTCCCAGGAGTGACTAAATGCCCACACCATTCCGAGTTTATATCGGAAATGTAATACTAATCCCGGCATTTGATACGGCTCCTAGAACATCAAGTCTAAACACCCCAAAGCGCTCAGCAGGGAATCACGCTCAGGTGTAGTGACTGTTTATCTGTAGGCAAAAACGCAGCAGCCAACTTGCGCGCACCAACATCCCGTAAACAGCCATTCGGTCAGTGACCTGGTTTATCTGGGAGATCACCGGCCGCTCGGGACACAGGGAGAGATTCCCTTTCCAGAAACGGTCATGGGAGTTTTAACATCCACCTGAACAGACACGGATGGGACCTCAGTCTAATGTCTAATCTGAAGAGTGGCGTATCCAACAATACAGCGCTCCCCCACCCCCACCACCTTCTCTCTCCTCCCCCGGCACTGCACCGAGACTGTGAGCTCAAAGTCCCTGCGGTTAGGGCTTGAGTCTGTAACTTTCTGACCCAGAGGCAAGTGTTACTGGCAAAGCCAGGCTGACACGTAACTAACAGTATTTTGTTTTGACCGGCTGGGTGTCTGGCACAGGTGGAAACCCATCACCGGGTTTAAAACTATCCAAACTAAGTTGAGAATTGCAAGTATTCCACGGGACTATTCCATGGGACGTCCTCCCGACGTGAAAGGCGCTCTATAAATGCAATCCTTTTGTTGTTGTTACACATGGAAATTTCCGAGATAAATTATTGGAATGGAATGCGCTCTCTCTTTCTCGCTCTCTGGAGGGACACATCCCGCTTACCTAATTCGGGAGAGTATTAGGCACAGGTTGGCAAGAGCCAAGGTTTGGGGGGACCCCAGAGTGTGCGTTGGGGTAACTGCTGGAGTCTAACCAGCGAAACCGCATAGTTTACCATTGAGAGCGCTGTCTGACCAGCTTTCTCACTGCTATACTCACTGTATAACAGAGAGAACAAAATCAAAACGTTTTTCATGTTTGGTTTCACAATTTGGGAATGAGACTGGTGTCTGGTCACTAACCCACACACACCCATACCCACACACTCATACCCACACACCCACACACACCCATACCCACACACTCATACCCACACACCCACACACACCCATACCCACACACTCATATCCACACACCCACACACACCCATACCCACACACTCATACCCACACACCCACACACACCCATACCCACACACTCATACCCACACACCCACACACACCCATACCCACACACTCATACCCACACACCCACACACACCCATACCCACACACTCATATCCACACACCCACACACACCCATACCCACACACTCATACCCACACACCCACACACACCCATACCCACACACTCATACCCGCGCACCCACACACACCCATATCCACACACACACACCCACACCCGCACACCCACATACCCACACACCCATACCACACACCCACACATACCCCCACACACACACCCACACACACCCACACAACACACCCGCGCACACCCACATAACACATGCCCACACACATCCATATCCACACACCCACACACACCCATACCGACACACCCACATAACACACACCCACACAACACACACGCACCCATACCCACACAACGCACACCCACACACACCCATACCCACACACCCACACAACACAGACACAAACACCACATACACAACACAACACACCCACACACTTTCCACTGACACTATCAATACAAGTTATGTTTTCACAACTGTGAGTGGCTTTAATAGGGTAAATAGAGAGAGATTATCTGCACTGATCAGCAGCTCAGTAGTAACAAGTGGGGATAAAGTGAATTCTTGTCACTACACGAAGAAAGGATTTATTTTAAGTGAGGAGTTGTTTGAACATCGGATGCCTCAGTGTAAATGGCTGTTAGAAACCGGGTCAGTGACAGGATTTCCAAAGGAATTGGATAACTAACATTAAAGGGTGCGAGGAGAGAGCAGGGAATGGGGTTAGCGTAGAGAGCTCTAGTGAGGGAGCAAGAACCAGCACAGATACAATGGGGATATAGTAGGGCAATGGGATTAGATGTCCCAAAGCTCTTCACAGGATATAATGTAAAGTGTAGTGTTTGTCGTATTTTGAGGGCAAATGCAGGAGCCAATTTGTGCATAGCAAGATCCCACAAATGGAGTGAGTGATCAATTTTATTTGGGGGATTGTCGACCAGGACACCAGGAGGGAGAGAGGAACTCCCTTCTCTTTTCCAATAGTGTCCATAGGATATGTCGCAAGATGAGACCAATTTCAAAAAGTGGCCCGTTAGAGACTGGCTGGTCCCTTCCCCAACTGCAGTGGAAGAGAACGGACATGGAGATGATTGATAAGGAATGAATGCACTGGAGGGTTTCTTTCCCCCCAGTTATAAATGGCAGGAAGGGCGTGTGTCAGAGCAGCAGGGCAGTTCAAAAGGTTTCATGTGTCTCTGAGTTAAAAATAGTGTACGTCAGCTTTATACAAATACAGCGAGGAATGACCCAACCGACAGCCTCTTGGTTGGCCAATACTGTATGATCCCAGGATGGTTTCAATGCTAGGAATTTCCTGTCTGAGACAAAGGGAAGCAGAGGACATGTGTGGCCCAGAGAACGCACTTATCCCGAGCCCAGCCTTAGCCAGTGAGCCCATCTGGCCTGGCAATTGAGATTGGTAACAATCCCGTCTGAATTTGGTCCAAATTACCCGAGCAAAATGCATAGTCACTACACTCTACAACAACAACAATTTGTATTTATTATTATTATTATAGTGTCTTAGAGCACTTATGGGTGCTCTACGATGAATCCTCCTGATGTGTGAGGCTCTACATCAAAATATTCTTACTATCATTATGTTATTACAGGTTAAATCATTCTATAGAATAATAAATAAAATAATAAATGATTATAAATAATGATCATAATAATAAATCATTATAATAATAATAATAATAATAATAATAATAATAATAATAATAATAATAATAAACATGATTTGGAAGTTGGAAGGTATTATTCTGCGGTTCTAACAAAGGAAACCAGCCATTCACAATGCAGTGTCTGTCGGGCGGGGAAATTCCTACAGTCCAGGCCACGATGGGGTTTTCGAACCCAAACGGTGTGTTACCACGAGGCTGTGTGGCTATTGTAACCCATGGTATTAACCTGACCGTGTGCCCAGGTCTCCAAGGGCAGAATGTTGGGAGCCACCTGTCTGCTTCTTGCCTTGGTCACCACCGTGAGCTGCGTGACCCAACAGCCTCCGAACACGGTGAGCGAGGACTGGGTGTGGAACAACCTGCACGAGTTCGAGAACTATGAAGGGCCATTTCCTAAGAACATCGGGAGGGTAAGGCCACCAAACTCTATATTTGTTACCATCAATAGTATTTTTCTGTAAGTTGTGCTCTGACGTTCAGTGGCAAGGCATTGCATGTTCTAATAACCCTCTGTGTGGAAAGGATTTCTTATAACCTTCCTCCCTGAGTCTTTCTATAATCTGACAGGAAGACATGGACTGCTCACTAAATGAAAACCTGGGCTGAAGGGGCTGAGTAATGATGAGAGGCTGGGGAGACTCAGATTATATTCCTCAGGGCAGAGGAGGTCACGCGGTGATGTGATTTGAAGTGTGTAAAATAATGAGAGGAATTGACGAGTTAGGGAGCAGATGACTCTTTCCTTTGGTGGAGGGATCATTGCAAGGAGCGGAGCCTTAAACTCAAAGCTGGAAGGTGAGAACTGAGGGTAGCCAGAGATTCCTCACGCAGAGCCTTGTGAGGATGTGGAATTCTGGGCCCCAGGAAGCTGTAGAGCTGGAATCAATCGAGATTTGTGAAGGAGAAAGATAGACAGAGATTGGGGTAGGACAGGTATTAATTATGGGGAATGGTGAAAGGATGGGGAGGGGTGGGAGGGGGGTGCAGGCAATGAGGTTAAAAGATCTACCAAGTCCTATTAAACTGGTGGAACAGGCTTGGTGGGCTGAATGGCCTCCTCCTCTTCCTGTATTCTCTATGATCCAAGAAACAAAATGTGACAAACTGGCCAATTGTGTTTTGAAGATCTATTCCAAGTTGCACAAACCCGGGAACACCACGTACATCCTGGAGGGAGATGGGGCGGGGATTTTATTTAAGGTGAACCCCAACAACGGATCCATCGCTGTGTACAGGACTCTGGACCGGGAAGAGAAGACCAAGTATTTCCTGCAAGCTTTTGTGAGGAGCTCGATCAGCAAAGATATTTTGGGCCTCGCTACAAATTTCACCATATCTGTGTCAGACATTAACGACAACGCCCCCAAGTTTACTCAGGAGGTGTTTAAGGGGTCCATCCCTGAGATGTCCCCTAATGGTAAGAGCTCGTGAGGTGCAAGAGGGAGAACCAGAAAAAATCATACCATAAGGTGTAGTGACTGTGTGTTGTGTGGGCCAACACGACAGCTCAATTTTGCGCACAGTGCAGTCACTGCAGACAGCCGTGAAGTGAGCGGCCGATTTTATTTGGGGGGAGGGATTGTCAGCGAGAACACGCCAGCTGTTGGCCAGACTAACAAACAGCTGGATGGAAGGGGTGGGGGGGTTGACCAGGGAGGGGGGGGGGGGAGGCCAGGGAAACTGGGACTCATTTAAGAAGCAGCTGGACGCTGTGAGGTGGGGACGGACGGGCATTCTGTAAGGACGAGATGAAATGAGCCGCAGGGTCTTCTTCACCCCGCAACCCTCGCGTGACCGGGGGGTGGTCAGGCGTGTAATCTGAAACTCCAAATCTCTCCCGCAGGCACCTCTGTTCTGAAAGTAACAGCTCATGACGCTGATGACCCCACGGTGGGCTCACACACAAAAATAACATACCAGCTACTGGGAAAAGAACAGAACTTCATCATCGAAACATTCTCAGGTACCCGCCACTCGCTTCTTTGGCTCGATTTATAATAATAATAATAATAATAATCCTTGCATTTGATAGAACGCCTCAAAATGTCTTTGAATTGTCTCAAAGCGCTTCACAGAATACACTGTAAAGTGAATTGACTGTGAATTTTTGGGGTGAAACGCAGCAGCCAATTGCGCACAACAGCGTCCCACAAACAGTCGTGGATTGAGAAGGTGGGGGTGGGCAATGCTGGGGGGGAGCAGGTTTGTATTGCTACAGGTAAAACAGTGGAAAATCTCTAATATCCAGGCTTAATCTGGAAGCTGTTTTCTTTTCTAACAGACTGATAATAATAAAATAAGTCTTGCAATTGATATGGCCGCTTTCTCATCAGGAAGATGTCTCAAAGCGCTTTGCAGCATTTTACTGTAAAGTGTAGTGACTATGTGTTTTGTGGATGAACGCGACAGCCAGTTTCCCTATAATCAGTGAATGAGCGATTTTATCTGGGGTGGGGGAGGAAAGATTGTCAGTCAGGACGCTGGGAGAGAGAAAGAGAAACTCCCTTCTCTTTTCCAACAGTGTTGCAGGATCTTTAACGTCCACCTGAACAGGGCACGGATGGGGAGCGCAGTTTATCATCTCATCTGCAGAACGCCGCAATCCCCCTCACTCCCACCCCAGCAATACACTGGAGCTTAAAGACCCCAGCGGAAACCTAACAATCTCTCTCCTCTCCCTCCCTCCTCTTTTCCCAGGAATCATACGCGTTAAGTCGCCGAACATGGACCGGGAGCAGAAGAAAGACTATGAAGTGTTTGTCCAGGCCAAGGACATGGGCACCCAAAACGGGGGCTTCAGCTCCACGGCCACTGTCCTCATCAGTCTGACCGACATCAATGACAACCCGCCCCACTTCTCACATAGTGAGTGTCTGCTTGTTGCCCAGCCCCGGCTCCAATAACAACAACAAATGACACTCACACAGCGCCTTTCACCTCGGGAGGGTGTCCCAAGGCGCTGGACAGTCAAAGCTTTAATTCCGAGCTGGCGGTTGGGATCAGGATCCCTGTGGATGGCAGGGAGGGTAGAGGTAGGAGGGTGACCGAAGGCGCGGTCGAAGAGGAGGGAGGATCTTGAAGACGGGGCTTGAAGGAAGCAAGGGAGGGGGGGTGAGGCAAGGGGACTGTGGGATGGAGCTCCAAAAGGTTGGGGCAGGGAGGCGGAAGTCCCAGCCACCGATGGTGTGGGGGGCGCGGACAGTGGGGGGACATGGAACAGGCAGAACTCTGCTGAGCAGAGAGAGCAGACAGGTTGGTATAGAATACTCTCTGGATTAGGGAAGTAAGGGAGAGAGAGAGAGAGAGAGAGAGAGAAATGAGACCGTTTCATAAATTCAATGTCTCACCTTCCTGGACAGCCCAGTACAAGTTCAATGTGTCGGAGGACAAGATAGTAGGACAGGAGATCGGCCGGGTGAAGGCGGAGGATGGTGACGAGGGGGAGAATGCCCGAATAATTTACACCTTCATCCCGAATAGCAACTTCTTCACTATCAAAACTGACGCAAATACTCAGGAGGGAGTAATTACACTGAAGAAGGTAAAGGGAGATCGGAAAGTGACCCAGGCATGTGGACACATAATGTAGAGGGAGCTTTACTGTGTCTCTAACCCTGACCTGGGAGTGTGGATGCACATACTAATAATAATAATAATAATAATCCTTGCATTTGATATAGCGCTTTTCACGTCGGGAGGACGTCCCAAAGCGCTTGATAGAACACACTGTAAAGTGAATTGACTGTATATTTGTGGGCGAACGCGGCAGCCAATTGCGCACAACAATGTCCCATAAACAGTCGTAGATTGAAAATGACCAATTTATTATTGTTTTTTGTTTTGGAGGGATTGGAGGGACAGTGTAGAGGGAGCTTTACTGTGTCTCTAACCCTGACCTGGGAGAGTGGACGCACAGTGTAGAGGGAGCTTTAATGTGTCTTATTATGATAACACTGGTTATGGTCTCGCAGCCCCTGGACTTTGAGAAGCTGAACAGGTACAAAATAGAGGTGGAGGCGGATAACCCCACACCGGGCAGTTGGATGACCAAGACGAAAGCTGAGCTGCTGGTCACTGTGTTGGATGTGGATGAGCCGCCTGTTTTCAGCCACCCCTTCTACAGCTTCAGCGTCTCAGAGAACCAGCCGGCAGACACCCAGGTGGGACAGGTCAAGGCCAAAGACCCGGATCAGGCCAGAAACGCCATTCAGTAAGATAATAATAATAATAATAATAATAATAATAATAATAATAATAATAATAATAATAATAATAACAATAATAATAATAATAATAATAATAATAATCCTCGCATTTGACACAGCGCCTCATCACGTCTTCGAGACGCCTCAAAGCGCTTCACAGGATACACTGTAAAGTGAATTGACTGTGTATTTTGTGGGTGAAACGCGGCAGCCAATCGCGCACAGCAGCGTCCCCACAAACAGCCGTGGATTGAGTGACCAAATTTTTTTTAAATAATTTTTTGTCCGGGAAGGATTATTATCCCCGGAAAAGCGATCCTCCAATAGACTAACAGCCGGGTTCCTACTCACTTCTGGGTAAACAGAGGCTTGTGGAGTAAGGAAATTTGCCCAACGTTTCGCCTGGGAATCGAACCCGGGTCCTCTCGCTTGTGAGGCGAGGGCTCTAACCACTGAGCTACAGGACTCCATGACAAATTTGTATTGCACCTTTCACATCGGGAGGACATCACAAGGTGGCAGTGAGCACAGGCGTGACTGTGAGCTTTACCTGTGTACAGGTACAGGCTGAAGACCGGTGGCAGTTTTTTCCGAATCGCACCGGATAGCGGCAACATCTACACCAGAGTCTCGCTGGACCGGGAGACACACGCCTGGCACAACATCACCGTCACAGCCACCGAGGTCTCTAAAGGCAGTAAGTGACCACGGTTATGATCATAATAATATTAATAACAGTCCTTGCGCTCGGGATCACATCAATGAGACGATCCCAAGACACGTTGCTGGGTTTTACTGTCAAGTGTAGTGACTGTGTGTTTTGCAGGCGAGGGACACGGAGTGTGTGGGGAGGTTGTAACATTCCCTAATGGGTTGACTGTAATAATTATCTCCTGCTGTTGTGTTGCTCCCGACGTGAAAGGCGCTCTGTAAATGGAATCTTGTTGTTGTTGTTGTTGCTGTGACGCCCTGTAACTGTTTGCCCTTTGCCCACGTGTGTGTGTGTGTGTCTCAGGGGTCTCGTTGATGATCCACTCACAGGCCCTGGTGGCCATCAAGGTACTGGATGTGAACGACAATGCCCCGAGGTTAAAAGAGGATTACAGACCATTTATCTGTGAGCGTCAGGGGCCGGGCTCGGTGAGTTCTCTCTCTCTGGCTTTACCACAATTAACTGACGGGCGGCTAAAATCTGCCTCTGTGAAACACAGAGTAATCACAATCCAGGCTCTAATTTGGGGATGCGGGGGTTGGGGAGGCTGTACGTGTGTGTGTGTGTGTGTGGAAGTGGGGTTATGGGCTGTGTGTGTGTGTTGGGAAGTATCTGTGTGTGCGCGGGGGGTGTGGGAAAGGGGATGGAGTGTGTGGGGCGGGGGGTTTGAGGGGGGTTGTGCGTGTGTGGGGGAGGGGGTGGTTGTGGGGGATGCGGTTTGCGATGCCCACTCTGTAACGACTGTGAGATGACGGTGGTCTCGCTGCCCCCCAGCTGGTGCAGGTTGTCGCTGCTGTGGACGATGATGAAATGACTACGGCCGTCAGGTTCCATTTCTCCCTGGGCACCAGAGACAGTAACTTCACACTGAGCAACAACGGGGGTGAGTGAGACCGCGATATGGAGGGTGGGAGGGGGACACGGTGGGGTGGGGGGTTGCGACATGAGGGGGGACACGAGGGGGCCATGACACATGGGTGAGGGGAATTAAATCAGTGACGGTGGGGGGGGACAGGATTGCCATTTGCACACGTGCTGCAGAATGCCGGGAGATCTTGGTGACTCCGTGACCCAAACTGGTGAAAGCCCCTGAGGTTACGTTCAGCCGACTTGAAACTGGTCTTTATTCCTGAGCTGATCTCAGAGTCTTGTCTTGTGTTATATTGTCTGTCCCAGAAACATAGGAATCGCAAGACAAAAACAGACCAAGGTCCATGGAGTTCACCTCGACAGCATCCTGGTAGTCTCTTGCTACAATAATAGAGACATTGATATGTCTGTCCTGTGCTGTGTTATATGTCTGTCCCATGTTATACTGTGTTATATGTCTGTTCCACGATGTGAGCCGTGTGCTTTGTTTGCTGCTCAGATAACACGGCTAACGTGACGGTGAGGCTGGGGGGGTTTAACCACAAGGAGCAGCCGAGGTACCGGCTGCCGATTGTGGTCAGTGACAATGGGCGTCCGTCAATGAGCAGCACAGGCAGCCTGGACATCACTGTGTGTCCCTGTGACCAGGCCGGAGAGGCTGGGGACTGCCGGACTCTTAGACAACCCCTCACCTCCAAGGTCAACCTGACCGTCCTGCTCATCAGCTTCCTCTTTATCATCATCCTCATCGGTGAGTGCACTCCGCGCCCCCCACCGCCCCCCATGCACCTTATCCCACAACTCCCCCCATCCCCTCCCCACACACTGCTCCATCTGCTTCCCTGTATCACCGGTGTAATCAAGGTGAATTAAGTCACGCACACTCACTCACATACACACACACTCACTCATAGACACTTACACTGATACACTCACATACACACACACTCACATACACACACACTCACTCACATACACACACATCCACTCACATACACACACACTCACTCACCTTTTCACACACACGCACACACACTCACTCACGTACACGCACACTCACTCACATACACACACATACACTCACTCACATACACATACATTCACTCACATACACACACACACACACTCACTGACATACATACACACACACATGCACACACACATTCACTCACATACACACACACACTCACTCACATACACACACACAGATTCACACACAAATCTCGGTATTCCCAGAAGCCAGGCCAATGTAATGAGCTATGTTCGTCTCTCTCTCTCTCTCTCTCTCTCTGTCTGTGTCTCTCAGCCATCGTGGTGCTGATCCTGTACCAGAAGCTACAGAAGAAGCCTGTGTTTGCGGTGATGAAGCCGAGTGAGATCCAGGAGCAGCTGGTGAGATACGACGAGGAAGGCGGAGGCGAGATGGACACCAACAGCTTTGACATCAGCGTTCTGAACTCGCTGAGGGCCCGGGGGCCACGAGGGGCCAGGGGCCCCATCCCTGAGACCCTCCCCGAGGTGGTGCCGGAGCCTGTCCCTGTGTACGCCAGAGTTAGGAAGCCCCAGGCTGACATGGGCTGTGTGGTCACCATGAAGAAGCAGGAGGCAGACAGCGATCAGGACCTGCTGCCATATGACACTCTGCACATGTTCGGGGAGGAGGGCACAAATTCGGTGGCCGACAGCCTCAGCTCCCTCGGGGCCTCGTCCGCGGACTCCGAGCAGGACTACGATTTCCTGAGTGACTGGGGGCCGCGCTTCCGCATGCTGGCCGAGCTGTACGGGGCCGAGACCCCATGGGGGGGCAGCCTGGAGGGTTAGCGAGGAGAGAGCAAGGGAGTAGGAGGGTTAGAGAGGGGAGAGGGCAAGGGGGGGAAGGGGGGGGAGGGCGAGCGGGGCGGAAGAGAGGGGAGAGGGTGAGGAGGGAAGAGAGGGGAGAGGGCGAGGGGGGGGCAGACTGGAGACTGGGGGTTTAGAGAGGGTGGGGGGGGGCAAGATCTAGGAACTATCATATGGAACCGCTCCAAAAAAACACTGGCATTCCTGTAAAACACTGGGCATTTGTGTGAAGCGCTTTGAGACGTCCTCCCGACGTCAACGGAGCTGCATCAAATCAATATAAGGATCATTATTATTATTATTATACAGTAATTATTATTAATGTCTCCTCATGATGGAGGTGCTGTGTGGCAGTCATTGGCAGATTCCTTCTGTCAAGGCGTGTGTGGGATTTGGTGACATTGTTTAATCTGATTTACAGTGGGTTTGTACCAGGAGCAGAATAAGCCTGTAACAATGTTGTTAACTCTTTATTCACGGTGGGTGCGGTGGTAATGTACTCAGTTCCTTATGGGGGTTTTTTTTAAATTGTTTTTACGTTGTTATATCTGTATTTTTAACAACTGATTTTGTACTTTTTTTAACAACGAATGTTTTGTGAATAAAAAAAAACGCTGGAAACTCAGAACCGTCAGAAGCGATGTGTGAAAGGAGCAAACGTCTCGATTATTAGGTGTCCCTTCTCCCACCTCTGCCCCACCACCTCCCCGCCCGCCCGCCCGCCCCACCCACCCAAAGAGGCGAGACTCACTCTTCCAATGAATGCTTTCCCTCCCCGGCAGGAACAAGGTAAAAGTGCTTTAAAATCTAACAGAACAAAATAAACTCTAACAGACATCAGGAAGACGTTTCAAAAAGCTTTGCAAGATTTAATAATAATAATAATAATAATCCTTGCATTTGATATAGCGCTTTTCACGTCGGGAGGACGTCCCAAAGCGCTTCACAGAACACACTGTAAAGTGAATTGACTGTATATTTGTGGGCGAACGCGGCAGCCAATTACGCACAGCAATGTCCCACAAACAGTCGTGGGTTGAAAATGACCAATTTATTATTGTTTTGTTTTTGGAGGGATTAGTGACTGGGGTTTTGAGACGTGGCAAAGGTGTAACAAGGCGCTGCATTAAATGCAAGGATTATTATTATCATGTCACTATAAGCGGCAGTTACTGCTGACTGCCTGGCTGGGTCAATGTTGGATAGTAATTCCCTCTGTGCCCACCGGAGCGCACCAAACACTCACTAGAAACCAGATTCACAGACGCAATGTCATAATAATAATAATAATCTTTGCATTTGGTTTAGTGTCTCGTCACGTCTCCGAGACGGGTTTCATTGGGCGATCGATTGTCCAAGTGCAGCAAAGATTGGCAAAGTGATTAATCCGAATACAATCATGATCCTCACGTAATCCCTTCCCACTTAATCCTGATCCAATCTCATCCCATCCCATCACAAACCGGTCATGGGGTGCTCAAGAGGTGTGTTATTGTATATGTAACACCCCCACCACCAAACTCCTGGATTATACTCCAGTCTGTGACTCACTTGAGAGGTGCATTATTCTATATATAACGTCCCCACTCACACCCCCGCCAAGCCCCTGGATTAGTCTCCAACCTGTAGCTCCCTGTGTGTGTGCGTGCGTGTCTGTGTGTGTATGTGTGTGTGTATGTGTGTGTGTGCATGTATATGTGTGTGTGAGTGCGGGGGCTCACACTGTGAGTGATTCCTGTGGGTAGGCTGCTCTGTACTGAGAGCAGGTCAGACGGGCTTTGCTGCTGGAGGCTGATATCCAGGTTAATGCTGTGTGAGCGCTTTATTCAGCCGTTAGCAGCTAAGCTGACAGACACTCCAATAAGTATTTTTTTAATAGTGAGAATAAAGATCAAATGATACAGACCATTAGATTAATCCCTGTTATTAGCGCATCTCTCTGTCTGTCTGTGTCTCTATCCCTCAGTCTCTCTCTGTTTTTCTGTCTCCTCTGTTTGTTTGTTTGTCTGTCTGTGTGTCTCCCTATGTCTTTCTCTCTTTCTCTGGTTAACTGCATTTTTACCCAACAACAAATTAAAAATTTACATACAGTATCTTTCATGATAGAAGGACGTCCCCCAAGGCACTGGACAGTCAAGAGGGGTGGAGGGCAAGAGAGGACGGGAGGATGACCAAAGGCACAGTTGAAAAGGAAGGTGTTGAGACAAGCCTTGACGGAGGCAAGGGGTGGGGGGGGGGGCGAGGCAGTCAGTGACAGCTGCCACACACACAGGCCCACACTACACTGATGGCTTGCCTGATCCTCATTGCCAAGCAATGTGTCAGCCTGGCTTGGCCTCGCGTCAGGAGGTTCTGCATTCAAACCCCAATGTCGGATTCTCTGAGCTCAAATACTACAACATCTATTGTGATGGAACAACTCAAAGCGCTTCACAGAGTTTCTCTGTAAAGTGTAGTGACTGCGCGTTCTGTGGGTGAATGCGGCAGCCAAATTTGCACACAGCAAAAACAACAACAACAAATTACATTTGTATAGCGCCTTTCATGTCAGGAGGGCAACATCCCGCCAGCAGCCGGCCCGGACACCACACTAGACAATACAACACAGTTTCCATTTGCACAGCGCCTTTCATGTCAGGAGGACATCTCAAACCACGTTACATTGCTGGGCTGAGCTGGTGGGTGGGAGTCGATGGGGGGGAGGGAAGAGATGGTGGGGGAGTAAGATGACCGAAAGCTCGAGCAAAGAGATAGGTCTTGAGACAAGCCTCGAACGAGGGAAGGGGAGGGAGGAAACAACAGCCAATTCCCTGTGAGACTCTAAGACATTTTGCTGCATCAAATACCAGGCCTGTTATTGTAAGTGACGCTACCTTTCAGCCTGGTTTCACTGTGTGTCTGTAAAGAGAAGGGGAGGTGGAGCAGGATACAAAACAGACCTTTCTGCGGAGAACAAACTCATTTTATTTCTAAATATGTTAAAAACAGATGGAGTTAAACGTTTCCCACTCCCTCCCTCTCTCTCAGTTGTATCCCCCTGAGCGAGAGCGTTGAAAAAAATTGTATTTTGTTCTAAGTGGGTGATAGAACCTCTCTCCCCTCCCCCAACACACACTCAAACACAGAGTCGATCTGCCTATAAATCTACCCACTGCACTAGTGATGTGGTTTGCTTGCTTCAGAGTTAAGTGACCGGTTGGGGTTTAATAATATTTGTGTATTTCACAGAGAGAGAGAGAGAGAGAGAAGGCGTGGACACATTATGCAATTCAGCATCTGTATAGCAGGGACTGATGTTAGTGGAAATTAACTATTGATGTGATTTCAGACTGAGAAACATTTTACTACACAAATAAGACTCTACTCTCTCTCCCCTCCCTCACTCCGCAACCACACACAGTTTGGGGTATAAAGTGAATGAATCTCTATTTCTATACTGTATATTTATATATAGAGAGAGAGAGAGAGAGGAAAGGCTACTCTGTGCTGATGGAGCTCAGCTGATGGATTGAGGTTAAAGGAGAGAGTGACAGAGGCTGACTGGAAACAGAGAGAGAGAGAGAGAGAGAGAGGGAATCCCATCGTATGAACGGATTCACTCAACAAAGCAGCCGGAGAGAGGGAGAGAAGATTATTCCATCATCAATTCCTTCATTTTTTTTCTTCGGGTGGAGAGGGAGAGGTGAAGAAGGAGAAGAAAAGAGCAGTAACATCAAAAGGAAATCCTTTCCTTTAACACTGTATATACAGTATATACTTTGTATTATATCATATTTTTCAGCAAATGAAAGCTGATGGCTTGAGAGGAGAATTTCTATCGTATGGAGGTGACTTTGTCCCTGTGGACAGGTGAGGAGAGCGTTTTATGTAAGTTTATATTCTGGGTTGGGGATTATTCCTGCCGGGAAAAATAAGGGATTCTCGTTGATTCCATCCCCGCCCCCACCCCACACCCCCACTCTCTCCCCCTCCTCCTCCTTCCCCTGCCCCCCCAAACGCTAGATCTTTAAACCACAGAGCTCTCGGCTTGTGTTAGCAGAGGAGAGTGTGTGTGATCAGAGAATTGTGCTTTGTGTTTGTGTTGGCTTTGTTACTGTGTGTGTGTGTCATCACTGCTAACAGGTACATCAGGGAATGAAATTACAATATTCAGTTTAATTCAGAAATAAAATGTGCTGCAGTAGTGCTCTCTCTCTCACTCCCCCCTCACTCCATAACTACCAGTCATATTAATAATAATAATCCTTACATTTGATATGACGCCTGATCACATCTTTGAGACGTCTCACAGAAGATATTTACATTTGTTAGCACCTTTCATATCGGGAGGATGTCTCAAAGTGCTTCACAGGATTCACTGTACAGTGTAGTGACTGTGTTTTGTAGACAAACACAGCAGGCAATGTGCACACAACAATGTCCTGCAAACATTGCTGAGTGATTAGTTTTATCTGGATTGTCGACCAGGATGTTGACCGTGCGAGAGAATCTCCCTTGTCTTTTTCAACAACGCCGCGGGATCTTTAATGTCCGTCTGAACAGGGCACAGACGGGGGAACTTGGTTTAACTTCTCATCTGAAAGTCAGCACCTCCGAGTCTGTGAAGTAATTTGTGATTTTTCTCCCCAGCTATTCTTCTGCACTTTCCTCTGGTGTCAGGGAGTTCGATCCGCATCGGACTGGGAGGCAACAACTCGGGATCATGTAAGTAACACAGGGAATGAACGGGACCGAGAGAGCGGGAACGAGCTGTGTGTCTGGTACTGATTGCTGTCTCTAACCTCTCCCCACACCCCCACTGCTCAGTTTGGCCTCCTCAGATCTACAAACTTATGAGAAATTCATAAAGAGTTGAAAAGGTTTACATCAACTTTTTATTTCCTCCCTTATGTTCCTCGATTGATCTGTCTGTAACTGTAAACGAGTTTGAGGCAGAAACAAACTAGGATGCACAACAGGCCAGCAATCTACAAGAGAGACTTCATGTCTAAAGTAATGGCCAAGCTTTCCCACTGCTTGTCCAGATAGGACCACCCTACCCATTAGGGCTTTGGCTGCAGGAGCTGAGTGGGAGGATTCCCTGCCCCCAGTGACTGGTCTATCCTTCCAAGTCCTGCTGATGAACCAGGCCGGGCTGTGTGTGTGTGCGTACGTGAGACTGAGTAGGATAGAGTTTGGTCCATTGAGACTGTGTGCAATGGGAGTGACAGGGGATGTTGATGTTGGCGGCTGGGTTAGGGAGTGGCTCTCACTGCGGTGCCTCCGACTGTGACTGTCTGACGCTGATCTCTGGGTTAAGCAGACGAGCAGAGTGTGCTGCCCTGCAGAAAGGAGGAGCTTCAGTGTGGTAATGGGCTGTGTCTGCTCAACTGGCTGCGATGCCATTATAAGAAGGATTGTGGCAATGAGTACACCTCCATCAAACTCATCTGCTCAAGTAAGTGCTACCTCTCCCCCATCCCCCTCACCCCCGCGGGCCCCTCAACCACACCCCCAACCTCAAGAACTCCATCCCAGAGCCCTACTGCCTCGCCCCTTCCCTCGTCTCCTTCAAGTCCTGTCTCAAGACTTTCCTCTTCGACTGTGCCTTCAGTTACCCTCCCAGCCCCTTGCCCTCTAGCCCTCTTGACTCCAGCCCCCAACCTCACTGACCAGCATCTTGGGACTTCCTCCCGATGTGACAGGCGCTATATTAGTCAATTGGCAGATCGCTTTCCGAAGTGGGAGGTAATAATCCCTCAAAAAAAAATGTGGTCACTCAATCTACGACTGTTTGTGGGGACGTTGCTGTGTGCAGTTGGCTGCCGCGTTTCACCCATGAAAACCACAGTCAATTCATTTTACAGTATGTGAAGCGTTTTGGGATGTCTCAATGATGTTATTGGGCGCTGTGTCAAATGCAAGGATTATTATTATAAAAATGCACTTTGTTGATTTTGATGATATTGGTGTTGATGTTGTTGTTGTGTTCTCTCTTCAGAAATAGCTGGTAACCAGAGCGGGGTGTCCCCGGAGCGGGGTGGCGGGGAGGCAGGGGCAGGGGGCAGTGTTCTGGTGTCCCCGCTAGTGGTGGCCGGCATTGTGATCGGGGCGGTGCTGCTACTCTCCTGTGTCACCATCATCGTGGGGAGCCTGCGGGGCGCACACATCAGCTCCGATACAGCCTACGGTGAGACTTTAGGAACATAGCAACAGGAGGAGGCCATTCAGCCCCTCCATGACTGATCTGTACCTCAACTCCAATTACCTGGCTTTCTCCCCAAATCCCTTGATCCCCTGTCCTAACAAACATGTGTCCACCTCAGTCTGGAAAACTTCAATTGATGCAGCAAACCTTTCACCTCGATGTTATTCCGCCAGCTACGCTCCTCCTCACACTCCGGGACTTAAAAGCTGTTACAGCATTCAGCACATCTTGTTAACCCTCTCCCTGCTGAGTACACAGCGACTCTGTACAGTCTCACACACACACACGCACACACAGTGACCCGTGCACAGTCACACACACCGCGGCAGTACAAAGTGATTCCATTTGAAGCTTTGCGCTATTTGTACATTCCAGCTGCGAGGAATGTTCTAACACTGAGCAGCCTGACGGCCTCACTCTCTCTCTCTCTCTCTCTCTGATGATTCCCGCAGCCCCGGACACGCTCTCGTGCAGAGGATCAGAGGGGGAGCTGAGGTCCTCGTGCGACCCGCACTCCCCGCCAGCCTTTGATTTTGACTCTTCCCTCGAGACCCTGTCACAGGCCAATGTGTACCCAGACTCTCCACCACAGTGAGTAACGCTCCTCCCCTCCTCTCCCACCCCACCGGCACATCCCCGCACACAGCCAATCTTAACCCCACTCACTCCCTCCGTCCCTCGCTCACTCGCTCACTCCCTTCCTCCCTCCCTCCCTCCCTTCCTCCCTCACTGATGTCCTGCCTTATCTGACAGCTATGAAGACTGCCTATTGCCGAGCCAGCCTCGCCTCTACGTCCCTGGTGAAGACCCTCCACCGTATTCCCTGACGGACCCCAGGCAGGAGGATGGGGTCGGAGGTCCCCCGCTCCTCCCGCCCCCACTGTACGAGCACTGCGATCAGAGTGAGCCCCTGCCCCTGCTCCCTCATAACGGCTGAGACATCACCCTTCCCAGCACAGAATTCCGGGAACCCAGAAAAGGGCTGAGCCTGGGAAAGTAGGGTGGGGCTGAGAAAGTAGGGCGGGGCTGGGAAAGTAGGGTGACCATATTTTGTAGACCAGACCGGGGACACCTATATAAAAAAATGACCTCATCACAATCGCTGATGCTGGCAGCTAGACGGGAAGTGTGTTGGATTAATGGCTGTGTTTCTCTGATGATTGTACATTTTTTTAGAATGTTATTGTTTTTGCTCAGTTTGTTGCTGAACTCAACAGATCCCGATAACTCGTACGTGCAGTGCCGTAGTGTAGTGGTTAGAGCGCTCGCCTCGTAAGCGAGAGGACCTGGGTTTGATTCCCAGGCGGGGCGAAACCTTAGGCAAGTTTCCTTACTCCACACACCTCTGTTTACCCAGCAGTAAGTCAATTGGTGGATCGCTTTCCAGGGTTAATAACCCTTCAAAAAAAAATTTAAATGTGGTCACTCAACCTACGGCTGTATGTGGGGACACTGCTGTGCCCAATTGGCTCCCACGTTTCGCCACAAAATACACAGACAATCCACTTTACAGTATATTCTGTGAAGCGCTTTGAGACGTTCCAATGGTCAGGCACTTTATCAAATTTTAAAAAAATTTAAATGTGGTCACTCAACCTACGGCTGTTTGTGGGACATTGCTGTGCGCAATTGGCTGCCGCGTTCGCCCACAAATATACAGTCAATTCACTTTACAGTCTATTCTGTGAAGCGCTTTGGGACGTCCTCCCGACGTGAAAAGCGCTATATCAAATGCAAGGATTATTAAATGCAAGGATTATTACTATTATTATTCCTGCCCACACCCCCTCACCCGAGCACTGTTTGATGGCGAGGTTGGCCGGTTGGGGGATGACAGTGAGTCTGTCTCTCACTGTCCAGCCTCGCCTCCTCTCCCCGATCAGCTCCACACTGGGCTGGACACACGGTGAGATTCGGGGGTGATATTTACACCCACACTTTGTCACCGTCACTCACACATCTGGTCTTTTAAATCGTCTGTTTGTTTTTATTTAATAAAAATAATCTCAATTTCAGAATCTGACGCTCTGTGTGGTTCAGTTTGACTATTTCCGGAACTGGAAAAAAAAGGTGTGGGGAAGTGGGGGTGGGGGGGGTGGAGAGAGGGAAGAGAATCAGAGAGGACAGGAATAAGAGAGAATGAGAAGAAAGTACGAATGAATGCAGTCACTGGGGGCAGGGAATCCTCCCGCTCAGCTCCTGTTAACCCTGCAAGCCAAAGCCCTAACAGGTAGGGCGGTCCCAGCTGGACAAGCAACGGGAAAGCTTCCCAGACCGTGACATCAATACGTGGTTCGATATGTGGTTTTAGATGGTTAGACTCCAGCAATTACCCCCAACACACACTATGGTGTCCCTTAGCCTTGGCTCTTGCTAATCCTGCAGCTAATACTCTTTGGAATTAGGTAAACGGGATGCAAACGTGGATGGAATGGAAGGACAAAGCATCAGCATGAACCCAGTCTGGACCGGTGATGTGCTGGAGCTGGGAGCGCAGCGCCCCATGCTCGCAAGGCAGAGGTATTACAGTGCCCTGCGCTAACAGCGCAGTCAGCGTTAGGGGAACGCAGAGCAAGAAGAGAAGTGGGAGGGGAACAGGGAAGGCAGTCAAGCCCAATGTCAGTGTAGAGCCTGGTAGTGCTGAGCGGCAGCCTGTGCCTGTCCAGCGAAGGTTAAATAAATCCCGTGACGATATTGGAAAAGAGAAGGGAGTTTCTCCCGAGGTCCCAGAAAACAACTCCACACACTCACACACACACACTCACACACACACACACGCTGCCACCTCAACCATTGCCCCCACCCTCGGATAAAAGGCTGCGGCTGCTGGATCCGTTAACATTTTCAAGACTGAGGTGGATAGATGTTTGTGAAGTCAAGGTATTGAGGCCATGATCTTATAAAATGACGGAACAGGCTCGAGGGGCTGAATGGCCTCCTCCTGTTCCTGTGTTCCTATGTACTGTATATATATTCTGGCAGTGTGTGAGGGAAAGAGCTTAAAAAACAGTCGCTGACTGCACTGGGCAGCAATTACTGCAAAGCTTTCAAAACACGTGTGTAAATCAATCTTTACCAGTCAAATCCCCCTACACCCCCCCCCCCACACACACACACACACAAACCCCGTGCTGTGTTCCAGTTGTTACCCCGAGGGCACAGTCGGGGCTGTATGTTACTGGGCTTGATTCTAACCACAGAGACGAGAGGGAGAGACTGAACGCTTTCACTTTCCGTTCACCGTGATTGGCCATAAAGACAACACAACCTTCCTGCTTCCTCTGTCCTGAGGCCCTGTCTTCACGCAGACACGCAGACATAGAGCAGGAACCTCAGCTCCGCTCAGCGAGAGAGTTCACAGCACAGAGCGGAGGGGGGGAGAGGGAGAGCCAGAGCCCAAGAGATGGAGCTCACCAGTTGTGTGGCAGAGAAAGTTTACCAAAACTTCTGGGCGTTTTACCAGCAGAGCTATCTGTCGGGGGAGCTGTCTCCCTGGGCAGGGGAGGAGGTGAGCAGGGAGGTGAGGGAGGTGCTGGAGACTCCCTATCACCCCGGCACTTCCCGCTTCACACACCTGGACTTTTACCGCATCGCCCGGGACTTTGTGAAAGGCGTGGATCCGCGACCAGGAGAGAATCCTTTCCGAGCTCTGGGAAAGGCTTTCGAGGTCCTGGAGTTGATCGCAGTCAATCTGTTCCTCTGTCCCTGGAGGAAGGAGATCCGATCGTTAAAGGTTAGTGACAAGACCGTCCCTCTACTGACAACAACAGCCTGCATTTATGTGCACAGCACCCTTCACGCTGGGCAGCGTCTTGAAGCGCTTAACAGTGGCAGAGGCTAACTCCAAGCTGGGGTGAGGTGACTAATTACGGTCAGAGAGGATGGTCTTCAGTCGTGATCTGTAAAAGGGGAAGGAAGGAGCAAGGCAGAGGGATTGGGGAGAGAGTTCCAAAGTTTCGGGGTGTAGTGGCTGAAAGCACAGCTGCCGATGGTGGAGTGGAGGGGCCAAGGGACAAGCAGGAGGCTGGAGCCAGTCAAGCGGGTGCTGAAGTGGGGAGTAAGCAGGTGGGAGGTAGGGAGGTGCCAGGGCATGAAGTACATTGGGTATATTAACCATTTCCTGCCTGCCCGAAGGCGCACTGAACGCTGTTTCTCTCTCTCTTCCCCAGACCTTCACTGGTACCTTCGTCTACTTCCTCCAGCCGGCGTTCCCGGCGGATGGAATGCAGGGAATGCTAGAGAAGCTGGGATACTCCCGGCGGGATTCCCAGGAGTACGTGATGCGGCAGCCGCCGGACGTGGATGACCTGGGGCACCTGGCGTTCGAGTTCCTGCTGGCCCGGAGCGAGTGCGAGGTTCTGTGGGAAATCCTGGAGCGAGTGGGAGGCTCCAGCTGCCTGTCCGTCATCCAGACCCGGAGCCAACTGCCCCTGAGCTGGGGCGAGGGGAGGGGGCCTCCCCAGGGAGGGGGCTCCGACAACGACCAGCCTCCCCTTGACTCTGACGCCCCCCTCCCTCTCACTGACCCTCCGGCATCCCAGCCTGACTCTCACCCCGAGCTCCCAGCCAGCCTCTCGGACAGCATCGACCTGTACACAGAATACCCCGACATCCACATCGCAGCCGAGGCCAGGCCAAAACACACCGTCCCGGTAACCCCAGAGCCCCGGCTCCCCGAGGGGCCCCGCTCTCTCTCCTCATTCCCCGACTCACCCGACCCAACAGTAACAGTGCCTGAGCTGCACCTCGGGAGCCGGGAGCGGGAGAGCATGGAGGCCTGGCACAGCAGTGCCCGCCGATACCCGAATGAGGTGTGGCTGGGGGGTGGGGAGAGACTTCCCTACCCCATCGCCGAGACCCTGGGGCCGGAGCCGGCCCACCCACACCACGCGGGCACAGGCCCCGAGGACAGTGTGTGCCCAATTGCCGAGCATGGCGTTTGGCCAATCACGGAGCTCAGCGTGTGCCCAATCACCGTGGCCCTGCTTGCCGACGCCTGTGATTTGCCGGGCAGCTCGGCTCAGGCCGGCACCGGGCAGGAAGTTAGGGAGCCGCCGCAGTCCTACTACATCCCCCCACTCAGCCTGCAGGCCGACTGCTCATCAGTACCTCCCGGTGGTGGGGACATAGCAGCGAACATGTGCCGGGCCCTCCATGAAAACAACTGGCTTCGCACCGAGGTGATGGTGACGGACAGCGAGGATCCATTCGTGCTGATCAGCAAAGCCACCGAGACCCCTCACTGCGCCCAGCTCAGCCCAGACCCCAGGCACTGACCCCGGACGCTGACCCGGCACACAGCGAGCCGACGTGGAGTCCCGTAGGTTAATGGTTAGAGCGCTCACCTCGCAAGCAAGAGGGCACGGGTTTGATTCCCGGGCGGGCGAAGCCTTAGGCAAGTTTCCTTACTCCACACTCCGAGCAGTAAGCAGCCTTTTCCGGGGGGTAATAAACCAGTAACAAAATACACAGTCAATTCACTTTACAGTATATTCTGTGAATCGCTTTGGGACGTCTAGAAGACGTGAAAAGCGCTATATCAAATGCAAGGATTATTATTATCTTACATCAAAAGCAAGGATTATTATTATTATTATCAAATGTCAAAAAATTCCCAACTTAACTCGGACGCCGGTTTTCCCAAAGCCCTGAGAAGGAACCGGCCTCTCAGGTAAGACTGCGTTCAGGAATTTACAACAGTTTTTGAATTTTGATGAACTGGTGGGCGGGGAGAAACAGCGTGACAGGCTGAGACCCACTGGAATTATAGGGCTTGCAAACTCCAGCCAGACTGGGTTAAACTAACAGAATGAACAAGCGAGACTGTTCACATTGTGTGTGTATATATATGTATATAATCAATCATCTTCCCTCTCCCAATGCTGAAAAAATATTAAAATGACGTTTATTTTATTCTTTGTTAAGTTTCACGAATAAATAAAATGTAACTGTTCCCCTCAGTTGTTCCCAGTCAGAAAACACAGATCCCATCACACCCTCACCACAGCTCAAGTCAATGGGGATTCGGATGAGACGTTAAGCCAACATCCTGTCTGCCTGAACGTTAAAGATCTCGTGGCGCTATTCAAAAAGAGTAGCGAGTTTCTCTTTCTCTCCCGGTGTCCTGGCCAACCATCCCATAAATAAAATTGGTCACTCACTCCATGGCTATTTGTGGGACGTTGCTGTGCACACTTGTGCTGCCATATTTCACCCACAAATACACAAGTCACTCCATTTCACAGTGAATCCTGTGAAGCACTTTGAGATGTTCTTCCGTCGTGATAAGGAGCTATACCAAATACAAGGATCATCATTTCCCCCTCCTGGAGGTAAGCGGCATCTCCTCAGAGCTGAACTGGCGCCAAGGTGACATGTTTGGCAATGGAATGTCGGAATCAAGCCCACTCCCGGTGACGGTCTCTAGTCCAGGTCCTGCACCAGGCGGGTTTGCAGTATCCCAGGGCACTCACTGCTGATGACAGCACAGCCCAGCCTGGCCCATTGGCAGGACCTGGAAGGGCCAACTAGTCACTGGGGGCAGGGAATCTTCCCACTTAGGTCCTGTTAACCCTGCAGCCAAAGCCCTAATGGGTAGGATGCTCCCAGCTGGATAAGCAGCAGGAGAGTTTGCCAGACAGTGCTAACAATTGCAAGCTATGCGGTTTCAGCTGGTTAGACTCCAGCAGTTAGCCCATCGCACACTCTGGGGTCCCCAAGTTTTGGCTCTTGTCAATCTGAGTTTGGTTTGGAGACTCTTATGCATGGTGATGGGTTTCTGCATGTGTCAGAGCAAAAAAATATACAGAGCTCAGCCGGTAAGAGACCGATTCCCTCCTGGCTGGTGGTGTCTGTGTTGGTGTGTGTCTGTCTTAGTGCCGGCTCCGGTGTGTAAGGCACACTCCGGGTACCGGAATAACTCGTTCCTGCTTGCCCGCTGCTGTCGGCCAGTGTAAGTTATAGTCAGTGACATTCCCCGGTTACTGGCTACACGTGACCGGCCCTCGACTCGGTGACAGGATCCGTTCCCAGTTCTTCTCGTACCGTTTCAGCATCTTCTGAAGGTCGTGGTCGGCCGGGATCACCTGAGGGAGAGGGGGAGGGAAATGGGGACAATTAACAGCCCCCATAGACACCCCATCCTCCTCAAGTCAAGCTATATAATTGTAAATTGTTGTTGGTTTGGGTTGTGAATGAAATGGAAGATTCTGATGATAAAGTAACTCACAAGGACCGGGGCCGGGATTGTGAACAGTGTGTGGTTAATCAGCCAGTCCTCGTACAGCTGATGGATAGCCACCAGGTACTCCTGAGAGAGAGATAGAGAGAGAGTGAGAGAGTATGTCACACTCACTGCACGGTTATACAGTTTCACCCACAAAATATACAGTCAATTCACTTTACAATGTATTCTGTGAAGCGCTTTGAGATATCTCAACGACGTGATAAGGCGCTGTATCCAATGCAAGTATTATTATTATACACAATGGGAACAAGGCAGACGAGGGCAAAGCAACAAGGGGAGCGGAGAGCAGGGGGCCGTGTTGGCAACAGGCAGAGAGGTGCGGAGCGATGCCCCCCAGACATCCTCCCACTTCTTACCAGAGGAACAATCTGCTCCTCCTCCCGGCACCGATTCCGCAGTCGCTTATAGCAAGCCTCAGGTGATGTCTGTAGGTACACTGTGGGGAAGAGAGCTCCAGTTACACACACATTGTACATGTACACCTGCACACTGTGCATGTACACACTCGCACACTGTACACGTACACACGCACACTGTACACGTACACAGGCACACAGATGCTGTACACACGCACACAATACTGTACATACACAAAGATAAAGTACACATACATACAGATACTGTACACACAGATACTGTACACATACATATACTGTACATGTACACACATTTACATACTGTACATGTACACACACACCGATACTGTACATGTACACGCACACCACGAATTGCACAGCCCGTAACACCTTGTTACTCCTGTTCACATTTCACGTACAAGTAACCCTGCCCCGGAGTGACCTCACCCTCCCGGGAGTGACCCCCCCCACCCCCCAGCAGTGATCTCACCAATTAGATCGATCTGGATCTTCACGTTACTGATGATCCACTGAAACCACTGGCTCAGCACCTCATAGTCCACAGCCGGCATCCGGCAGCTGTAATCACAGCACAGTCATCAGGGCCCACACACACTCCAAGCTCAGTGCCCCCACCCCATCACACAAACCCCTCCCCACTTGTCACCCCCCCCCCACCCTACATCATACATACCCTTACCCAAGTTACACCAAACCCCCCCTCGCACACCCCTGGCTCTACACATCCCGACACATGCACCCTGACATACACACATCTCGTGTCACAGACCACCCCCCCACAGTGTTACGCACACACACACGCCCCCCAACCCCAGCCCCATCCTTGCCTGCGGTAGTGATTCTCCACGAAGATGTACTTGGCGCTGTAGATGGAGCGCTCCATCATCCTGATCGGTGCCGTCTGTGAGAGACACAGAGTTGGGCAACTCCTGGGTAATAATTCCACACATTTATATTATATATAATGATTGTTGCATTTGATAGAACGCCTCATCACATCGCTGAGACGTCTCAAAGCGCTTCACAGGATATATTATAAAGTGTAGTGACTGTATATTTTGTGGGCGAAACGCGGCAGCTAATTGTGCCCAGCAGCGTCCCACAAACAATGGATTGAATGACCATATTATCAATTTTTTTTTGGAAGGGAATATGAACCCCTGGAACAACCGGCCAGCAGTTTGCTCACTTACCAGTGGCAGTGTGTGCTGCTCTAACATGGTGAGCTGTACGTAGCTCTGCAAGGTGATGGCCCAGCGAGACACGTCCTCATACATTAAACCCTGTCGGCAAAGCAACCAGGTTACACAGCGCATCGTTCCCCCCCCCACCCCTCCAACTCCACCCACTGGCCATCCCGCCTCCCCCTCCGCGATTATCTCACGCCAACCCATGGGTGCAGAGACCACTTCCGACCACTGCCTGCCCGGCTGAGACAGGAGCTTAGCACAGGGATGTCCCCAGGGCAGTGTCCAGCTCAGCTACACCCTGGACAGTGAGTGTCTTTACCATCAGACCCGCGTGGCTCACGTACCAGCAGGTTGTGGCCCCTGAGATTCCTCCATTTCGAGACAGGCTCCGGGAGAACCTGCGGAGAGACCAGGAACACAGCTCAGCACCACCGGGAAGAGATTTTGCCCATTGGAATTGGGAGTGAATGGGAAGGGGTGTCACAAAAGCTCACACACACACATACAGGCACACATACATACACACACCACACAGACACACACATACACACACACACACGCACATATACATTCACACACGCACGCAGACGCACATATACATGCACACACATATGCACACACACGGGCACACGCGCGCGAACACACACACACAGGCTACACTTACCTCAATATTATTGGTTTTCGCAAAATATTCCAGGCAGGTGGTCTTTCCACTCGCAATATTCCCTTCGATGCAGATCTGAAACCAACAGCAAAACTGAGCTTCACTCCACGTCCCTTCCTTCCTTCCCAGCGGGTTCGGGGTGAAGATGGCCCTTTGACTTCAGGATCCCAGAACCCCCATTTACCCTGCAACCATTATAGCATTGCGCTGTTTCTTAAGTGTGTTATGTTTAAAATATATGCTGTATAATCCCATAGTAGTTAAAGCAGTCCCATGAGTAAATACAATCAAAGCAGATGTAAGATGTTAATTGTAAAAGCTGTTATCACTCTTATGAGTAAGTTTGTTGATTGACGAATAATAAGGAGGGTACGGGATTCTGATTATGGAGAAGGAATGTGGTATTCAGAGACCTTGGCTACACAAGAGTGGGAAGATATGCGGGCAGCCGAGTCTGAACAACAGAACCAAGGTCGCAGTGCAAAGCAGAAGGATGAGTGGGAAACAGAAAGCGGTTGTGTCCTGCACGAAGAAGAACCTTATATGGAGGATAATGGGACACTTAATTATAAATAAGGGTGAGACTGGAACTTTGGACTTGTCTTCGTTCGTGGGTTAATAGCTGTGAATGTGCTGACCATAGAAGGGAAGTCCTCAAGTCATCTGGTAGTATTGTTTCATTACGCGTCTTTTACTATTGCTGTTACTCGGGTTGCCCGGCAGGGAAACTGACTAATGAGCTTTTTCTATTAAATAGAATTAGGCTTTAGCTTTTGTCTAGTCTGAATTCTTTACAAGTGACTCCAGTGTTCTGCCTCCCTCCACCCCCCACCCCGGCTGCCGATTCCCTGAGTGTAAACAACAAAGAGCTGATTGGGCAACGTACCACCGGCTTCTTCTCCTGTGACCCACCTCCGAGGGGCTGACCTGCAGAGAATGAAAATCCACCATTAGAGCCTTACACCAATCCTGTAAACACCAGCCTGGATCTCTCGCTCACACTGTCTTCCCACTGGGTTCCCCCCCACACAGTATCCAGGTGTGGTCTAACCAGGGTTCTACAGAAGTTTACCATAACTATCCCTCTAGAAATGAACCCCAAAGTCTGGTTTGCCTTTTTTATGGCCTTATTAACCTGCGTTGCTACTTTTAGTGAATTGTGTATGTGTACCCCTCGGTCCCTTTGCTCTCTTCCCCATTTAGGTTTTTATTTTCCAGGACGTATGTGACTTCCTTATTCCTTCTACCAAAATGTACCACCTCACACTTTCCTACATTTAAATGCATTTGCCATTTAAATGCCCACTCAGCGAGTTTATTAATGTCGTGCTGTAATTTGTTGCCGTCCTCCTCTGGATTAACTACTCCCCCCAATTTGGCGTCGTCCGCAAATTTTGAAATTGTCCTACTGATCCCCAATCCAAACCATTAATGTATATTGTGAACAACAGAGTCCCAATGCCCATCATTGTGAAACACCATCCCACCCCCACCCCAGTCTGAGTAGTTACCCTTATACCCTACTCTCTGTTTGCCGTTTTGCAGCAGTTGCTATCCATTCTGCTATTTGCACCACATACACCTTGTTCCTTAGTCTGTTATCTGGTACCTTATCGAACGTCTTTTGGAAACCTAAATATATTACATCCACCGCATTCCCCTCATCTACTCTCTCTGTTACCCCTTCAGAGAATCCAGTGAGGTTGGTCAAGCCTGACCTTCCTCTTTGAAATCTGTGCTGACTATTTTTTATTATGTTTCCCGTTTCCAGATGCTTTTCTAAAGTTCGCAAACACACACTCACACACACACACACACACAGCCACTGTAAGAGAACAGGGGGGTGGCTATGGTGGGGGGAGGCTATGGGGGGGGGGGGGAGGCTATGGGGGGGGGGAGGCTATGGGGGGGGGGAGGCTATGGGGGGGGGAGGCTATGGTGGGGGAGGCTATGGTGGGGGGGAGGCTATGGGGGGGGGGAGGCTATGGTGGGGGGAGGCTATGGTGGGGGTGGGGGGGAGAGCATTAGGAAAGGGAGATGTGGAGTAAACAAGTGTGTGAAGGTGCAGTCAGTCCGGCCTTTCCCTCTCTCTCTCACCCCATTTGCAGAAGGCGGACTGTCTGTGTGCAGGAGGTGGACTGTCTGTGTGCAGGAGGCGGACTGTGAGCTGAGCAGACAGACACAGACAGACATGCTGTGGCTCTGGCTGCCTGGCCGGGGAGGGGAGGAGAGGGGAGGGCACACTCCGGGGAGGACACCGACCTGTTCCCGGGCACAGCTGCCGCCTGGCGAGGTTCACCCCCCCGTGAAAGCGCCTCCAGTTGACGCCACCATCGCCATAGCCACAGCTCAGCCTGAACCTCCGGCCCCCGGGCCGGCACCAGGCGGGGAAAGCCGAGCATCGGAGCCGCAGTGACCGCCACACACACACCGACATCCCTCGGCCCCTCTCTCTCTCCTCCTGTCCCCGCAGCAGCGCTCACAGCAGTACGCGGGCCGCACCTCGCCCGCGGGCCGCAGACACACTCACATCCGCCGCAGCTACAATGTATCTCTCCCCCGTGTCCAACCCTCCCTTTTATTAAAGGGGAAGTTCGTCAATAAAATGTCGGGCAAAAAATATTTATTTTACAGAAACACCAGAGGGTGTTTTGATTATTTTTATTTTAATATTTGACCAGGTTTCTCTCCCCCTCCCCTCGCTCCCCCCATCGTCTGTTTTCCTTTCTTGTTTCGCTCACAAAACACGCAGTCACTGCACTTTACAGTATATCCTCTGAAGAGCTTTGAAACGTCTCAACGACGTGATGAAGGCGTTATATAAAGTGCAAGGATTTATTATTATTAAAATAATCCTCACGCTTGATACGTCCACGACAACAACAATAATAATCCTCGCATTTGATATATTAGAGCACTCACTTTGCAAGTGAGAGACCTGAGGTCAATTCCCGGCAGAGGGCGAAACCTTGGGCAAGTTTCCTTACTCCACACAGAGCCTAATAATAATCCCTCCAAAACCAAAAACAATAATAAATTGGTCATTTTCAATCTACGACTGTTTGTGGGGACATTGCTGTGCGCAATTGACTGCCGCGTTCGCCCACAAATATACAGTCAATTCACTTTACAGTGTGTTCTGTGAAGCGCTTTGGGACATCCTCCCGACGTGAAAAGCGCTATATCAAATGCAAGGGTTATTATTATATTATTATATACAGTACAGTACAACATTATTTTTGTAAAGCGTGTTTCACATCAGGAGGACGTCCCAAAGCGCTGAACAGTCAGAGATTAGGACCCGAGCGGGGGGCGAGTTGGGGGATCAGGGAGGGTGGAGGGCAGAGAGGGTAGGAGGGTGGCCGCCTTATCACGTCGTTGACATCGCAATGTGGTTCACAGGATATACTGTAAAGTGCGACAAATTACTGCGAAGTAAACAGAGCCGTGTGAAATAAGGAAACTTGCCCAACGTTTCGCCCCTCTCAGGAATTGGCCTCAGATCCTCTCACTTGCAAGGTGAGCGCTCCCAACCACTAAGCACAGGACTCCACAATTATTAGGATTATTATTATCAGAATAAATCAGAAATTGATCATTCGGTTGGGGGGCACACCACACACTGAATGCAAGGAGGAGAGAAATAACAACAACAACAACAAGATTCCATTTATAGAGCGCCTTTCATGTCGGGAGGACGTCCCAAGGCGCTGGACAGTTGGGTCAGGACCCGAGCATTGGGGGGGGGGGTCAGGGTGAGGGGAGGGGAGGGAGGGGGCGAGGAGGGGGGAATGGTCAGGGGGAGGGGAGGGAAGGGAGGGGGTGAGGAGGGGGAGAATGGTCAGGGGGAGGGGAGGGAAGGGAGGGGGCGAGGAGGGGGAGAATGATCAGGGGGAGGGGAGGGGAGGGAGGGGGCGAGGAGGGGGGGAATGGTCAGGGGGGAGGGGAGGGGAGGGAGGGGGCGAGGAGGGGGGGAATGGTCAGGGGGTGAGGAGGGGGTAGAGAGTCGAGAGCGGAGCTGAGGGCTGAAGGTTAAAGGGAAAGGCCTTGAGACGGCCCTGAAGGAGGAGAGGGAGGAGGCAGTGGGGATGGAGGGCTGTTACTGGGGGCCGCCCGGGGTGGGGGCGCTGCTCCGCACAGGTAACTGATGCAATGCAGAACCCAACTTCCTTTGGTGGGGACGAGGTAAACCCGGAGTGGTTTGTGTGAGGTGTGAAGTGAAGTCACCGATCAGGAGGGGCAGCGACACCATCAGTTACCATCACCCGGACACCAGCGCCTGGAGCAGGAAGTGAGGAGAGAGACTGTGAGGGAGAGGACCACAGAGAGGAGCGGCTTCACCCCAACCCCACAGCACAGCACCGCCACAGCTCCGCACACACCGGGGGCGGAATGGAGCTCAACTTGGCCTTTGCCAAGTCAACCCGGGGAGTGCTGAAGCTTTCAGAGCTGGTAATGAGGGGGGGGGGAGGGGGTGGAGGGGAGGGGGGGGAGAGGGGTGTGGGGAGGGAGAGGGGGAGGTGTGGGGGGGGAGAGGGGGTATGGGGGCGAAGGGGGGTGTGGGGGAGGCGTGGGGGGTGGGGGGTGGGAGGGGGTGGGGGAGGGGGTTGTGGGGGAGGTGTGGGGGAGGGAGGGGGTGGAGGGGAGGGGGGGTGGGGGCGAGGGGGGGAGGGAGGGGGGGGGTGGGGGGTGTGGGGGGAGGGAGGGGAGGGGGGTGGGGGAGGTGTGGGGGAGGGAGGGGGTGGGGGAGGGAGGGGGTGGGGGAGGGAGGGGGTGGGGGAGGGAGGGGGTGGGGGAGGGGGGTGTGGGGGAGGTGTGGGGGAGGGAGGGGTGTGGGGGAGGGAGGGGGTGTGGGGGGGTGTGGTGTACAATAGCAAAGGAGTAAAAGGAACACATTGGTTTCTGGTTTGAGTAAACGTTGTTTTGGGGGCACCAACTCTCAGTTCTAAGGCAGAATTTCTTCAGGAGGGGGTGAGGGTGGAGGATCGGATGGGGGTGTTTGTAGGGGAAGTGAGGGGTGGGAAATATGGGGCAGGGTTGTGGGGGAGGGGGGGGAATACTGTCAGTGTCAGATGTCAGTGCCCGAGAGGCCCAACAATCGCCCCCTACTGGAAGCCACTTGTGCCCAGGTTTGGTGTGTGCCCCTTTGGTAATGGTGGGTTGACTGTATCCCAATTCCCAGGACTTTGGGAGTGGATGGATGGGAGCTGGGAATGGGAGCTGGGAATGGGAGCTGGGAATGGGAGCTGGGAACGGGAGCTGGGAATGGGAGCTGGGAGGGTGAATGAAGACTGATTGTTTCCCCAGACTGTAGGATTTGTGGCGTTTGTCAGCTTCGCGACCTGTTTCTCGGGGGCGTACGTGGCCATCCCGCTGCTGGAGCTGCTCATCACGCTGGCCTTCTACCTGCTCTACCTGCTGAAGCTCCACTCCTCCCTCACCCTCATCTTCTGGCCTCTCACTGTGAGTACCTGCCCTCCGCAAGAGCCCCCACCGTGCACTGAGGAAAGCTACTGATGGAAATCAGATCTTGAAATCAATGTGAGAGAAAACACTAACCCTGACTCTCCCGCAGGATGTACTGAGCTCCCTGCTCGCTGCTCTCTTCCTCCTGATCATCTGCATCGCGGCTTTGGTCAGCAAGACAACGGCGGGCGCCGTGACTGGCTCGGTGAGTGAGACAGCAAAGGGGGGGGGGGGCAGTCTACCAGCGAGAGAGGGATGGGGGGGGTGGCAGTATGAGAGGAGGACCTGCTGCATTTCGTCCACACAATATACAGTCAACTCACTTTAAAGTATATTCTGTTAAGTGTTTTGAGACGTCTTGAAGACGTGATGAGGCGCTGTATCAAATGCGAGGATTATTATAGTGTGGAGTCCTGTAGCTCAGTGGTTAGAGCACTCGCTTTGCAAGTGAGAGACCTGAGTTCAATTCCAGGCAGAGGGCGAAACCTCGGGCAAGTTTCCTTACTCCACACAGAGCCTAATAATAATCCCTCCAAAACCAAAAACAATAATAAAATTGGTCATTTTCAATCTACGACTGTTTGTGGGACATTGCTGTGCGCAATTGGCTGCCGCGTTCGCCCACAAATATACAGTCAATTCACTTTACAGTCTATTCTGTGAAGCGCTTTGGGACGTCCTCCCGACGTGAAAAGCGCTATATCAAATGCAAGGATTATTATTATTATTATTATTATTATATTATTACATTGTTATCGCTGTCTAATGCCAGGTCTGTGGATTTGCGGCCATTTGTCTTTACTTCGCTGACGCTTACTTGACCTACAAACTCATCACTTTCAACCAGCGGCGAGCTCCCAAAGCTGAGGCCACGTAGCCTGGTCTCCAACTGTCTGCTCACCCTCCTTCCCTGTGTTCCCGAAGGAATGACTGCTCACCACGGGATGCCCTGGGTTGCGGAGCGAAATACATACCTGCAAAAGTTTGTGTAATTGGAGTGATCTGCTGATCTCTGGGGGTGGGGGTGGGGGGGGGGGGTTCGCTCCAGTCACTGGATGGTTTGTGGGGTCTCTGCCCTTCGGTGACTAGGATCTGCCTCTGACATGCTTATTGGCGCCCGTCTGTGTGCTGTTCAGTGCTCCGAGACCCTGCCCCGTTCTGCATTAAAAGTGAGAACGCTGTATAAATGCACGTTGTTGTTGTTGTTGTCGTGTGCTGATGATGTTTATACTGTATTTTAATAAAGAGTCGATCTGAAATGTAATCTTTTTCTCTACGGGGACCGGAGGGGAGCTGGTGTGCGAGATGGGTGGTGGGAGACGAGCGGAGACGGTGTGTGTGGGGGGGGGGTTGGTGTGAGATGAGACGGGGCAGTGTGGGGGAGGGGAGGGGAAGCACTACTGGAGGAGGGGAACCGGCTGCTGGATCCCAGCCCAGACCCACTGTGAGGACGAGGAAGTGAGAAGATGCTGAGGCTGCAAAACCACCCATATTCAGTACATGACGTAACTATCGCCCCCCCCCCCCCCCACCCCAACACACACACTCAGTCACTGCCCACACCCACAAACTCCATCTGGGAAGATCAACGACCCTCCCCCCCCCTCACCCTGAGTCACAGGATGGCAATCCTGTATCCAGTGCTCTGGATACAGGATTGTACAGTGCTCTCCAGTGGGGAGGAGGGGTGGGGAGGGGAGGGGGTGGGGGAGGTGGGGAGGGGTGAGGGGAGGGGGGTGGGAGGGGGGGGGAGGGGAGGAGGGGGGGTGGGGAGGAGGGGTGGGGGGGTGCGGGGAGGAGGGAGGGGGAGGTGTGGGGGTGGGGAGGAGGGGGGAGGTGTGGGGGGAGGGGTGGGGGGGAGGTGGTGGGGGGGAGGGGGGAGGAGGGGGGAGGGGGAGGTGTGGGGGGAGGAGGGGAGGGGGGAGGGGGGGGTGGGGGGGAGGGGGGGGGTGGGGAGGAGGAGGGGTGGGGGGAGGGGGGTGGGAGGAGGGGGGAGGTGTGGGGGGAGGTGGGGAGGGGAGGGGTGGGGGGTGGGGGGAGGGGAGGTGGGGGGAGGGGGGGTGGGGGGGAGGAGGGGTGGGGGGGAGGGGGGGTGGGGGGGGAGGAGGGGAGGTGAGGGCTTTAGTGGGAAACAAAGACAATTGAAAATCCAAACGATTTTTTGGAAGAAAAAGAACTTTCTCAAAACTGAATTAACTTTTCATGAAGTTTTCCCTCCGCGGCCGCTCTCTGCCCACAGCCGGGGGGGGGGGGGGGGGGGGGCTTCACTGGGTATTGATCCCGCTGTGGGGGGGTGTCTGTGTGTCTGTGTGTCTGGGTGTGTGTCTGTGTCTGGGTGTGTGTGTGTCTCTCTGTCTCTCTGTGACCGCCGTTTGGTGCTGTTTAAAGGGGTTTCATTCAGAGGGTTTCGGAGCAACAGCGGTTTCCGCACAATGTCACGGTTTCCGTTTCCCGCTAAACCCCCAAATCAGCCGTCAGCCCACAGCAGGGACACACACACAGGGACAGGGACAGACCCCCACCCACAGCTACACACACACACACAGGGACAGGGACAGACCCCCACCCACAGCTACACACACACACACACAGGGACAGACCCCCCCCCACAGCTACACACACACACACACAGGGACAGACCCCCCCCCACAGCTACACACACACACACAGGGACAGACCCCCACCCACAGCTACACACAGGGACAGACCCCCCCCACAGCTACACACACACACACAGGGACAGGGACAGACCCCCACCCACAGCTACACACACACACACACAGGGACAGACCCCCCCCCACAGCTACACACACACACACACAGGGACAGACCCCCCCCACAGCTACACACACACACACACAGGGACAGACCCCCCCCACAGCTACACACACACACACACCAGGGACAGACCCCCCCCACAGCTACACACAGGGACAGACCCCCACCCACAGCTACACACACACACACACAGGGACAGACCCCCACCCACAGCTACACACAGGGACAGACCCCCACCCACAGCTACACACACACACACACACACAGGGACAGACCCCCCCACCCACAGCTACACACACACACAGGGACAGACCCCCACCCACAGCTACACACAGGGACAGACCCCCACCCACAGCTACACACACACACACAGGGACAGACCCCCCACCCACAGCTACACACACACACACACAGGGACAGACCCCCCCACCCACAGCTACACACAGGGACAGACCCCCACCCACAGCTACACACACACACACAGGGACAGACCCCCCACCCACAGCTACACACACACACACACAGGGACAGACCCCCCACCCACAGCTACACACACACACACAGGACAGACCCCCCACCCACAGCTACACACACACACACACAGGGACAGACCCCCCACCCACAGCTACACACACACACACACACACAGGGACAGACCCCCCCACCCACAGCTACACACACACACACACACACAGGGACAGACCCCCACCCACAGCTACACACAGGGACAGACCCCCCACCCACAGCTACACACACACACACACACACACAGGGACAGACCCCCCACCCACAGCTACACACACACACACACACAGGGACAGACCCCCCACCCACAGCTACACACACACACACACACACAGGGACAGACCCCCCCACCCACAGCTACACACACACACACACACAGGGACAGACCCCCCCACCCACAGCTACACACACACACACACACAGGGACAGACCCCCCCACCCACAGCTACACACACACACACACACCCTCACACAGACACACACAGACACACCCCCACAGACTGAGTACCAGCCGCTGGGGAGATGCCGGAGGAGGCGCCCCCCACCCCCCACCCCCCGGGGCTCAGCGCCTTCATCCCGGACACAAGTTTTGTGAAGTCGCGGAAGGGGCTGCTGTTGGCTGCAGAAGTGGTGAGAACTGGGGAGTCAATCCCCACCTTCCCTCTCCCCCTCCCTCAGCGCCCCCCCACTGAGCCCTGTGTGTTTGTGGGTGGGATGGGGGGGGGAGAGGGGATCCTGACAAGTATCAGGGCGACCTGGCTCCCCCCCCCCCCCCCCCCACTGAGGCCAATCCTGTGTGTCCTCCCTCCCCACTGAGATCAGTAACTCTGCACAGATGTGCACGGGGTGGGGTGGGTGGGGGGTGGGGGAACGGGTGGGTGGGTGGGGGGGGGGAGATGAGTGTGGCATCTCAGTGCTGTTGGGGGGGGAGCGCTACAGTGTTGGAGACACCCCTCGGATGAAACATTAAACCAAACTCCTCCGACTGTGCCCCGATCCGATGGATATAAAGATTCTTCCCCCCCACTTCCGCTGTTGGGAAAGGGTCCCTTCCCCCCTACCCCCACCCCCACCCCGCCACCGATTATCAGTTGCTCCCTCCTGTTTTCGGGCGTCGCCGCACCCAAAAAAATTAATTTGGCTGCCGCGTCCGTCACCAAGATACACAGTCACTACACTTTACTGTGTAATTACCGTTAAAGTGATTTGGGAATTTGACATTTTAAAATCCGTATATATTGATAATAAATAAATAATAATAATCCTTGTGTTTGATATAGCAACAGATCAACTGTTGAGCCATCTCAAGGCACTTGACAGAATATACTGTAAAGTGTGGTGACTGTGTATTTTGTGAGCAAAACCCAGAAGCCGATTGTACACAGCCATATCAGTATTATTTATTTGAGGTGGTGGGATGTCACCAGCGTTGTGGTTTCCGTTCCGTTCCGTGTCATTCCCGCCCGGGAAGCTGTCACGCTCTGGGGCTAATGCGTGTTCTACCCTTTACCACACATTCCGAGTCTGGGACTGAATGTGTAACCGTTAGACAATCTAGAGAGTAAATAAACAGTTTCCTCCCCAGATAAGAGAGGTTACTGCAGGCAATAAGTTACTGTTTGTTATCAGGATGAAACCATTAAACCTCAGATATAGTCCAGGCTGATAATCCAGCACAGTGCTGCTGGGGGAGGGGGCGGTGGGAGGGAAAGGGGAACATGGCCTTGTCGGAGATAAAGTCCTTCGGGTGAAACATGAAAAGGATACTAATCTACCCGTCGCTCCCTCCCTCCAAACCCTTGATATCGACAAACAATAATAATGCTCCTTGCATTTGGTGTAGCGGCTTATCACGTCATCAGGACATCTCAAATCTCAAAGCGCTTCACAGGATCCACTGTAAAGTGTAGTGACAGAGTGTTTTGTGGGCGAAACGCAGCCAATGAGTTTGACTTTATTCCAAAGCACGAGGGGTTTGTTTGTGTTAAACCAGTCTTTCTCCCCATATATCAGATCCTCTCCTTCATCATTTTTATCTGTTACCTGGCCTCTTCCTCTGCCTCCTTCATGGCTGCTCCCCTCATCGAGTTCCTGCTGTCTCTCTGCGCCTATTACCTCTATGCTACCAAATACATCGAACGCTTCACCAGCTTCCACTGGCCATTTGTGGTGAGTGTCTGCAGCCTCGTTCTGTTGTGGTTGGGGTGGGGTGGGTGATGAGTGGGTGGGTCCAGAGCTGTGGATGGAGGGCGGTCTGTGGTTAATGGTTTTCGAGACGTCTCAAAGCACTTCACAGAATACACTGTAAAGGGAATGGACTGTATTTTGTGGGCGGTGCTGGGCTGGGCTCGCTGGGCTGTAACGTTCCAGGGATTCTGTAATTCCAGGATTTCCTGCGCTGTGTCACGGCTGCCATCATTTTCTTTGCGATCTCGATGTACGCGGTGACGAAAGGGAACGACGCGGCCTCGAAAGCAGCAGGGGTGAGTGACGCCAGGGTCTCCGTGGGAATCCTCCGCTCGGGCCGGTCACACTGCACTCCCATTTTGTGGTCCGATGTAAAAAGCCTGTGTTTTATTCCCGTTTCCTCTTGTCTCTTGTCAAGGTGTTTGGCTTTGCAGCCACCATCGTCTTTGCCTTTGATTTCTACTATATCTTCAACAACCTGGCCGGGTTCCTGCACCCACAGGAGCTCCCCACACACAACGCCACCATCAGCAAGTCAACAGGTGGGCAGCCTGTTTACTAAACCTTTCTGGTTAGATATGTGCAATCCTGCAGCACAGTGGTTAGCACACTCGCCTCAATTCCAGGTGGGGTGAAGCCTTAAGCAAGTTTCCTTACTCCACGCACACGCCTCTTTATACCTAGCAGTAAGTAGGAACCCAGTTGTTAGTCGATTGGCAGATTGCTTTTCCACGGGTAATAATCTCTCCAAAAAAAATGTGGTCACTCAATCCATAACTGTTTGTGGAACACTGCTGTGCACTGCTCTGGAAGCTGCATTTCACCCACAAAATACAGTCAATCCACTTTACAATATATTCTGTGAAGCATTTTGAGATGTCTCAGTGACAGCGTAAGCTGTATAAAATGCAAGGAATATTACTGTATTACACGTTAAAATCCTCACTACTGTTTATCAAGTGACCGAGTTTCCAGCTCCTCACTGGGCTCAGCTGTGAGCAAATGCAGGCCTGAACTCCTCACAGGTTCTGATCAGGAATCAGTTTCATTATTTGCCCACAAGATGGAAGTCCTAGAGTTCTTAGCTCAGCGGTTAGAGCACTCGCCTCGCAAGCAAGAGACCTAGGTTTGATTCCCGGCAGGGCGAAACCTTGGGCAAGTTTTCTTACTCCACAGGCCTGATAATAACCCCTCAAGAAAAAATGTAATCGGTCACTACAATCCACGACTGGTTGTGGGACGCTGCTATGCCTTATTGGCAGCTGTGTTTCACCCACAAATATAGTCAATTGACCTTACAGTATATTCTGTGCTTTGAGACATCTGGAAGAAATACAGAGTGCTATATCAAATGCAAGGATTATTATTATATTAATATTTAATTAATATTTATATTTTTATTATTATATATATTTATAAATATAATATATTTATATTTATATTAATATTTCATCACTCACTTCAAGGCTGAAGTCTTATCCGTCCTTGCGACGAGAGCTAAACCCGTCATCTGATCTGTCTGTTCAGGTGGATGTTAAAAGATTTTCCACGGCGCTATTCCGAAAGAGAAGGGAGTCTGTCTCTCCCTCCAGGTGTCCTGGACGACAATCCCTAAATAAAATTGGTCACTCACTTCACAGTTGCAGCCTTTGTGCCTACACAATGCAATGACAAAATTACATTTGTATAGCACCTTTCACGTGGGGAGGACGTCCCAAGGTGCTGGACAGAGTTTCAGACCCGAGCTGGGGGTCAGGATTGGGAAGGGTGGAGAGCAGGGGTGAAGCGAGGTGGTAGGGGGTTAGGAGGTCGCAGAGATAGGGAGGAGCAAGACCATGGAGGGCTTTGAAGATGAGAACCAGGATCTTGAACTGTATCCTCTGTGTGATGGGAAGCCAGTCGGGCGAGGATGAAGGTGACAGGGTCACGGAGCCTGGTGCGGGAGAGGACACGGGCTCCAGAGTTCTGGATGATCTGCAGCCTGTGGAGGGACGAGTTGGGAAGGCCGACAAGCAGGCAGTTTGCATAGTCAAGTCTCGATGTAATGAAAGTGTGTATGAGCATTTCAGCAGCCCGACAGTGGCGGAGTCGGGCGATGTTGTGGAGGTGGGGGAAGGCAGAGCGGGTCATGGCACAGATGTGGGGTAGAACGGATAGTTGAGGGTCAAACAAGACCCTACAGTCACTTTACTTTACAATATACCCAGTTTAGACATTTCGACCTGATAGTTGCTGTATCAAATGTAAGGATTATCCCATATGTAATATGACTATTAATTAATTAATGCATTAATGAATTGATGTCCTTTTCTCTCCAGGAGTCGATGATTCAGACTTCGATTCCGATTGAGACATTGAAACTAGACGAGAAGGAAAAATAACAGCAAAAGCCGGATCGTTTTTATATGCACCATTGTGTTGTTTGCCACTGACCGCGTGCCCCCCCCCCCCACCCCACCCCTCGTGCGCACACACAGTGGTGTATATGCAAAGATCATGGCTTATCCGCCTCAGCAGATAATCGGGTCTCCATTGGAAGTACAGACCCTGTAGTCCTTTCCTCCCCGCTGACCTCCCATCCTCTCCCGTTGACCACAGCTCTCCCATTCCTACCCCCCACCACCTTGGGTTTCATTTGCAACCAGGAAAGCCCCCACCCCCTTGCATACACACACACAACCAACAAGACTGAGCCAGAGCCCCGCAAGTACTCCCTCCTCATTAATGGAAGCTTATCACATTAAGGTGTGTGTGTGTGGGGGGGGGAAATGTCCCTTTAAGGAGATAAACATGGATTCATGATCTGTGGAGTTTCTAAATCTTTTCTGCGGCCCAAAACTTTCAAAACTTAAGAGTCAGAGTCTCCTCTGAGCGAGCGTGTTCTGTACCTGGTGGATTCTCAGTGACAGCAATTAAATTCAGTGTCTTATTTACAGACAGAGATAACTGTGCGGTTTTGTTCCATGGTCAGGGATTACTGGTAAACTGGCAGCTGCTGTGTTAATGCCGCGTGGCCAGGAGGCGACGCTGTGGAGTGAGCTGGCAGTGGTACTGGAGCCATAACTTGGGAGTTAGAAGCCTTGGATGTCATGGCTGACATCTTCCAATATCCCTTGTAGCCATCGCCCTACTCTCAGCAGCTTGGCCTTGCTCCCTGCTCACAGGAAACACCTCCCTTGGAAAGCACCTCAGCATGAAGCTCTTGTGGGGGGGGGGAATGAGGGAGGGAATTTCCAAACCTCACGACATGTCTCAGCCATTCTCCTGCCCCTTTGCCCCGTTCCATAACAAATTACATTGATATAGACCCGTCACACCTGAAGCACCACCTCACTCCGTCATCTCAACAACTTGCATTTATGTAGCACCTTCACTCAGGCTAATGTCCCAGAGCGCTTGACACTGGTGGATCACAACACCAAGCCGGGGGGAGGTGACCACAGGCAGGTCTTCAGGCGCGATCTGAAGATGAGGAGGGAAGAGGAAAGGTGGAGGGATAGAGGAAGAGTGTTCCAGAGTTGCCTCACCACACACCGTCCCCATTACAGTGGAGACACTTCAAATCACGGTTTATTTCTCTGACGTTCTGATTCACGAAGCCATTTCATTACGTACAAAAATACAGATTTCAGACACAGGACAGGAGGTCACAGATTGTTCCGGTGCCAAGAGGAAAGTGGGATGAAACACCGCGGTCACCAAGCCTGGAGGAGAGCAGAACCGCAGTGACTCCACACCCCAGACGTCCAAACACTCTTAAAATCACATTCACTAAAAAACGCGCTCGCCTTCAAAACACAGTCACTACACTTTACAGTGAATGCCATGAAGTGCTCTGAGACGTCCTCCAGGCACGACGGGTGCTGTATCAAACAAAGTAAAGATTATAATCAAGCCATGATTTTTACCTCAGTGAAAACTCTTGAGGGGAGTTACCCCTTTGCCGGCCCTCCAGCCACCCTCACCCTCCACCCATCCCTACCCTGAGTGGGAGAACAATCACCAGCTCCCGTCTCAGCACAAAGCAAAATGAAAAACACACCAGGTTTTGGATTTTCAAGGAAGGAGCAAAGCAAAGAGAGAGGGACGGGCATGTGAGAGAGAGAAAGAGAGTGAGAGGCCAAGGCTGGGGGTACCCTCTCTGACCCCCGGCCCTCCCCAGCTACAAGCCAGCCATCTCCGGATCAGTCTCAGTCTCTAGCGAGCAGCTCGTCACTTCATCGCTAATAAATAACTGGGTTTGTTTCTCGGTGACAGACAGCGAGTGGCTGGTGGACGGCAGCGACAGGAAGTCAGAAAGAGTCTAGACGGAGACGGGTCAGGGCTGGGGCTCAGCCCCAGCCAATGGCTCGCGGCATCTAGACTGAAAGATGTCGTGGCAAACGGCATGGGGTCAGTTGTGACGGGAGACGGCCTCGGCCGGTCACTGACCCGCCTCCTGCGGTGCACACACAGCAACCGGGAGGGTTTACATGTGAGAAGACGATTCACTCCCTAAGCGTCCAGCGCAGAACGACACGTGTGGCGTCGCTCTCTCTCTCAGCCCTCGAGCCGCTGAATCTCTGGCCTGGCGTCCACCTCTCCCCGGGACTCCGAGCGAGCGCGTGTGTATTCGCTGGCCTGGCCACTCGCCTGCCGCCGCAAGCCCAGGCACCAGATCCTCAAACCCAGGTAGGCGTTTGCCACATACACCACCGTAGCCAGGAACCCGAACACCTGCAGTCGGGAAGAGAGAGGTTAGCCGAGACGTTAGCCAGACAACACTACCACCGCTAATAGTCCTTGCATTTGATACAGCGCCTTATCACGTCGTTGAGACGTCTCAAAGCGCTTCACAGGATATATTGTGAAGTGAAATGACTGTGTGTTTGCGGGTGAAACGCGGCAGCCAATTGCGCACAGCAACGTCCCACAAACAGTCGTGGATTGAGTGTCCAAATTATTGGTTTCGAGGGGGGTTATTACCCCTGGAAAGTGATCTGCCAATCGAGTAACAAGCGAGTTCCCGCTTACTGCTGATAAACAGAGGTGAGTGTGTGTGTGCGGAGTGCGGAAACTTGCCTATGGTTTCGCCCCATCCCGGCCAGGAATCGAACCCGGGTCCTCTCTCTTGTGAGGCGAGCGCTCTAACCACTGAGCTAGAAAAACAGGGGAGCAAGTCTTACCGCAGCAGCGATCTCTCCAGCTTGCCGGTTGTTCACGGCCGACAGCACGATGGAGGCGATGAAGAAGAACACAGCGCTGGCTCCAGTGTTCACCAAATCCTGGGGAACAAACCGCACGGTTACCCTGCGGCAACACCAACAAGGAGCACATCTCTAACCCCCCCCACCCTCCCAATCACAGTCAGCCCATGCTCACCCACACCACTCCTCCCCAAACTCACCGTACTCCCTCCACGCTACCCTCCCACACACTCACTGCCCGCCAGCCCCCTCCCCCACCACCTCCATGCCCCACCGCGCACACTCATTCCCCCCCTCCCCCCATGCGCTCCACACTCA